GGGGGGGGGGGTGAGAGGGGAAAATCCTCTAAAAAATATCTAAGACCTGAATGACTGTATGATGGAGAGAGACACAGAGAGGGAGAGACAGACAGACAGTTAGATGGACTGAGTGAGTGAGTGAGACAGGCAGACAGGAGGTCTAATGATCTTTCCTTGAATATCGTGTGTGGATGTGTAGAGAGAGAGACTCTGATCTCTCTGGCAATCTTTCTCATTTGGAGATTGTCCTGTTTTATCTTTTACAGCTTACATAACTATTGTCCTGCTCTGCCATGTCTTTCCTCGTCTCGCCCTCTTGTGTCGCGGTGTGTGTAAATGTCACTCGAATCAGGAAACTTATCAGAATACCCATATTTGATTGGCTGAGCTGCATCACGTATATCTCTAAATCATGTGTGTGCGGCTTTTATTTTAAAATGGGGGGGGGGGCCTCTAAAAGTCGCCAAGACCTGAATGACTGTATGAGAGAGAGACACAGAGAGAGAGAGAGAGAGAGATAGAGAGATAGAGGGAGAGGAGTGTATGTGTGTGTGTGTCTCAGTGCCTCTGTGTGTTTATCAACATCACTAATGGGCTCATATAAACACCTGTGTGCTTGGGTGCATATTGGTGATTGGAGCACCTGTGTGTTAGAGGCTAATTAAGAGAGATTAGAGTGAACAGTGATTTTCAACAAAACTGCCTGTCAAACATATGCCCTTCATACCAAAACCATGAGACTAATCAATAAAATATGGATACCGTGAGAGAGATAAGACTCTGGCAAACGCGGAGATGTGTTTTTTATGTTTGTGGTCTTAAAAATGTGAGCTCCAGCGCAATATGCAAAACTGGTACCATCTGCTTTCGATGGAGAGGCGAGGATACACACACACACACACACACGCACCTATCAGCCGGGGTTCATCCAAATGCAAATGACTGTTCGGTCTGAAATTGTGACTCTGTCTCTCATCCTTTCTTGATGAGCCATCATCCTCAGTCCTCATCACATCTGTGTTTATGTGTTGGGGTTGTAGGTAAAGCGCTCGTTTGGCCTGTGCAGTCTTCAGCTGACCTATTTCGACGAGGAGAACGAGGAGGTGAGGAACTCTATCTGTTGTCACTCTGTCTTATTAAACATCACAGTGAAGTTGGGCAAGATCACCTCAAATCAATGCATGATTGATTGTCACATTGAACTAGGGGTGGGAATCTCGAGGCTACGACGTGATTATGAAACAATTATTGATTTATCTTGATCCTGATTTATTTTCTCTCACTGTGACTCTGCTATTTTAATGATTCATAATAATAAAAACTGATCAATTTGTTCCATTATCTTTTATTAATTCAATATTGGTAACAAATCAGAGAGATGTGTCAGCTGGAGAGTTACATTTCCAGCACTGCAAAGAGAAGCAACAAGAAGATCAATATAATAGGGCCTGTAGCAGCATCCTCGTAGTAACACACAGAGTTCAGCATGTTCTGAGTCATGTGACATAACAAGCTGCCTTCATTCACAAATGCATAATAAAGACTTCTCTTCCAACACATCCCCGTGTTCTCGCCAATGAGCAGCCAGCTCTCGTACACAAACGATGCTTTCTGGAACATGTGGTGAAGCTATACAGTGATAAAGTGCCCGTTCATGGTGACACAAGATTCTGTCACGCATTGCGTGTTCTTACCATCCTACCCGCATGAATTTTTGATTATTGATTTTTCTGCATTGAGTCTTAATCTTCTAACCCTTGTCATGTCCTGGGGTCATTTTTGACCCCATTAGACCTTTAACGTCTCTAAATAAATGAGACATCATTTATTTTGCTTAATATTTAATGACTTTTCCTAATTTAATGGGGACAACTGGGTAAACATAAACTCAGCATGTTGATATGTAAAGCCATTAAAACACCCAAAAAATATCTCTTTCCAATTGTAGGTCAATCAGTGAGATTTGATGGTGATCTGCATATTTCTCCATAGTAGAATAGAATAGTACTTTATTCATCCCCAAGGGGAAATTTGTCTGTGGCAGCAGCAAACAGGGTTACACAATAAAATAAAAATATTAAGTGTGGAAAATGCACAATATAATAAAATAAAATAACCGAGCAGCACCTATTAGATTTAAGAAGATAAAGTAATAAAAATGCACAGTATAAACACTAAATAGAATCGTATTAAATTAACTAAGTAGGAAAAAATAAACAAAACAGTAGTGCACAAGATCACCAACAGCAGCAACAGTGTAGCCTTGTTATAGTCTTGTGTTTGACTTGGCCAGAGGTGATTTATTATACAGTGATATTGCAGAGGGCAGGAATGTTTTCCTGTATCGGTCCTTGTGACAGCGGAGCTGAATCAGTCTATTGGAGAAAGTGCTCCGCTGTCCCTGCAGTAGGTGGTGGAGAGGGTGGTCCGGGTTATCCAATATGGACAATAGTTTCTTCAGTGTCCTCCTCTCCATCACCTCTTCCAGATAGTCTTGTTTGCAACCAATGATGGAGCCGGCCTTCTTAATCAGTTTATTAACTCTGTTGGTGTCTCCGGCTCCAATGCTGCTCCCCCAGCAGACTTCGGCGAAGCACTGGCCACAACAGACTGGTAGAACATCTCAAACATCTTGCTGCACACGTTGAAGGATCGAAGTTTCCTCAAGAAAAAGAGTCGACTCATCCCCTTCTTGTACACAGCGTTGATGTTGGTCTTCCAGTTCAGCCTGTTGTCGATGGAGACACCCAGGTACTTGTACTCCTCCACCATGTCCACGTCCTCTCCCAGAACGTTCACCGGTTGTGGAGCCGTCGTCTTCCTCCTGAAGTCGACCACCATCTCTCTGGTCTTGGCCACGTTCAGACGCAGGTGATTTCTACCGGCCCACTCTACAAAGTCAACCACTACTGTCCTGTACTCCTCCTCCTGTCCGTCCCTTAATCACCCGACCACTGCAGAGTCATCAGAGAACTTCTGCAGATGGCATGACCCTGAGTTGTACTGGAAGTCAGTGGTGTACAAGTTGAACAGGAAGGGAGACTGGACAGTTCCCTGTGGAGCTCCAGTATCACTGACCACCGTATCAGACGGCACACGGCCCAGTCGGACAAACTGTGGTCTGCCTGTGAGGTAGTCAGTGATCCAGGAGACAGTGGATGCGTTAACCCCCACCACCCACAGCTTCTCACTCAGCAACACTGGTTGGATGGTGTTGAACGCACTGGAGAAATCAAAGAAAGTGATTCTCACAGAGCCACCGGATCCATCCAGGTGCGACTGAGCTCGTTGCAGCAGGTAGATGATGGCGTCGTCCACCCCCACATGAGGCTGATATACAAATTGCAGAGGGTCCAGTGAGGATTTCACCTGCGGTCGAAGGTGTGCCAAGACAAGCCTCTCCAGCATCTTCATCACATGAGATGTGAGGGCAACTGGTCGGTAGTCATTGAGGCCAGATGGTGTCGTCTTCTTTGGTACGGGAACCAGGCACGACGTCTTCCACAGCACCGGGACTTCCTCCTGCTTCAGGCTCAGGTTGAAGAGGTGTTGAAGGACATTAGACAGCTGGATGGCGCAGGTCTTCAGGACCCTGGGGCTGATGCCATCAGGTCCCACAGCCTTTCCTTGATGGAGTCGCTCCAGCTGTCTTCTCACCTGGCCAGTCGTCACAGAGGGGGGGGGGGGTCATAGTGTCGGTGGTGGCAGAGCCCTTTGAAGTGGATAGCTCTGAGTCCATGCAGCACACCAGGGGGGACAGAGGGGGAGGTGTTTGGGAGGTGTGGTGTGTGGAGGAGACGGATGAGGGCTCTGAGCTAAACCTATTGAAGAAAGAGTTTAGCTCATTGGCCCTCTCCAGGGAGCCCCCTGGTTGTCTCCCTCCAACCCTGAAGCCGGTTATCTGCTTCATTCCAGTCCACACCTCCTTCATGTTGTTCTGCTGGAGTTTGGCCTCCAGCTTCCTCCTGTAGGTGTCCTTGCACTCTCTGATCTTAATCTTCAGGTCGCGCTGGACTCTCCTGAGCTCGTCCCTGTCCCCCGACCTGAAAGCTGCTTTCTTCTTGTTAAGAAGAGCTTTCAGGTCACTGGTGATCCATGGCTTGTTTTTGGGGAAGCAGTGTACTGTCCGGGATGGTATGACGGTTTGTTCACAGAATTTGATGTATTCTGTGATACAGTCCGTCATGCTGTTGAGGTCCTCCCCATGTGGTCTACACAGCACACCCCAATCCGTTGACTCAAAGCAGTCCTGCAGGGCATGATTAGCCTCCTGAGACCACCTCCTCACAGTCCTGGTGGTCACAGGCAGCCTCTGCACCAGAGGAACATACCTGGGTGTTAACAGGATCAGGTTGTGATCAGACCTGCCAAGGGGGGGAAGGGCAGTGGCACTGTATGCATCCTTTGCATTAACATACAGAAAGTCCAGGGTTGTATTATTTCTTGTGGGGCAGTCAACATATTGGTGAAAAGTTGGCAGGGCTTTATCCAGGGTGGTGTGATTAAAGTCTCCAGTGATTGCCAAAAATGCACCAGGATGTTGAATCTGCAGTCCAGACACAGTGGAGTGGATGGTGTCCACTGCTGTCTCGGAGTCAGCAGATGGGGGGGATGTACACAGCGACAACAATGGCGGACGAGAACTCCCTCGGCAAATAATAAGGACACATCCCCACGGCTAATAGTTCAATGTCCGGGCTGCAGAAGCGTTCCTTAACACACACATGGTCGGGATTGCACCACCTCTCGTTCACATACACAGCAATCCCGCCACCTCTCTTCTTGCCGCTCTGAACAACGTCTCTGTCCGCCCGAACAGTCCTGAAGCCGGGCACCGACGCACTGTGGTCCGGGAAATCCGCGTGCAGCCATGTCTCCGTGAAACACATGACGCTGCACTCGCAGAAGTCCCTCTCGGTCTTTACCAGCAACAGGCTGCCGCTGGCAAGACGCCATTTTATTGCTGCACAAAGTAACAGGGATTCTGGATGTATACGGGTTTGGGTGTCCCCAGGATAACAGGTGTTAGTCCATGTGAAGGTAACAGGAAGCTTAAATGTTGCAGGAATGAATGTTGACATGTTTTATATGTCAGGTAATGAGTTAGAATAAAGTTGAGTAAAGAGTTGAAACACAGAGGTGGGTCATAATTTATACTGTATGCTTTATAAACAGTCAAACCAGACGGAGTCATTTCTGAGCCCAGAGGACAACAGGTGTGATTATGTGCTGCCATTAGAACAATTCAAATGATTCAAGAACAGCATCCTCACTGAACTTTGACATATACCTCTCTGTGATCAGTCAAATAGTCAAATTAATATAAAGTCAAAATAACTCATTGTTTCATTGTATTTTCACTCAGAAACAGGGTCTACTTTGATGTAAACGAGGTATATTGGCCCTAAATATGTGGTAATGTGTTGGACTGAAGGTGTGAAACAGAATTGATTGACAATTTATACTCTATGTTTTAAATAAGAGTCAAACCAGGCGGTGTGACCCCAGAGGACAACAGGTGTATGGCAATCAGGAGGACATTATAAGTGAAACAATCGTGATGCATCTAAGAATCTATTTGTCCCACACCCCTAGCAGCAACCTCCGGTTCTGAAAAGTGAAGCCAATGCCTAATTACCTTAAACTTAAGTTCTGTCTAGTGGCCATCAGGGGGGAAACTCCTCTGGTGACAACAATAAATCCGATTGCATAGACGTCTATGAGAAAGTGCCCGTACATGTAAACATGAGTTTATGGTCTCAAGCCTTCTTTAATACATGATGATCATTTAGTAGATGATGGTCTGTTAGAGTAACAGAGATGATGAACATGGTGTGATTGACAGGTCACGACCACAGCGTTCTCCGGTCTGGGAGAACTTTAACTCTTTCACTGCATGTTTTCAGTTCTTGAAAGTTAACTGTAACATTTTGGTCAGCTTTGTACCATTTACTGTCTGTTACATTTTCTAGATAGCTTAGATACCCTTGATGACATCACAATGACATCATGAGGGTGTTTGCTCTTCCAGAGCAGCAGAAGACATGATACAACTATTTTCACCTGCTGACTCGTAGCCTTTCCTTGATGAGTAAACTGAGCTGCATTTGTAACATTGGTGTGCCCCTTTAATTCATGGAACTGTATCACCATCGTGTAAACATTCCCAGATTTACATGAAGACTCTTCCCTTGTCTTCTTCCAGGTGTCCATTAACAGCCAAGGTAAGCCAACAAACAGCCACAGGACACGGTATGCTGAACAGAACCAGATCAATCTATGAGATAATAATGGATTGCACATCAATATCATGTTCATGAATGTTTCTGCTTTTATTCCAGTGGACTATGAGGAGGCATTGAAGGTAAATTGACTGGAAGTTAAATTGTTGTTAATGTTTATGTACTTATTTGGAAACGAATAAGTACTGTACTGTAGAAAAGAATAGGAGTAGAACGGACATCAAACAGTTTGCGTGGTCATTTGAATAGTACAGAAGAAAAATGACACACATCAATAGGTATTCACACAGCTGGAACAACGTCTGTGAAGGCAAACACAAGACCTCTTTTTTACGACTAATTAATACTTTCTTTCCTTCTTACTTGTAAAAGCGACAGTCGGCTCCCATGAGACCCAAACACTCCATCCCCTCCTCCAACAACCTGATTCTGTACATTAAAGATGATACTGTTAATAGTAACATAAGTAATACTCAGAGCTGAGTTTATATATAATCTGTTTCTGACAGATTGTAATCTAATGAGTTTTCTCTTCAGGAGGCTGATGTCTCCTCTCTAGCAGAGCATTTTATTAATAATAATAATAATAATAATACATTTTATTTATATAGCGCTTCTCATAATACTCAAAGACACATTAAAATCATCATATATAAAAGCAATACACTAAAAACATAAAATACACGATATTGGTCACACATTAAAAGCAGTTTTGAACAGGTGGGTTTTGATTTGGGATTTGAATGTGGAGAGGTTGGTGCAGTCTCGGATGTGTTTGGGGAGAGAGTTCCAGAGGGAGGGGGCAGATATGGAGAAGGCTCTGTCACCCCATGTCCGGTGCTTGGTCCTGAGTGGAAGGGACAGGAGGTTGGCATCAGAGGAGCGGAGCCGACGGGATGGAGTGTGGTGGTGAAGCAGGTCCGTGAGGTAGGAGGGGGCCTGATTGTGGAGGGCTTTGTGAGTGAGGAGAAGGATTTTGTATTGGATCCGTTGTGGGACGGGGAGCCAGTGGAGGTTCTGGAGAACAGGGGTGATGTGGTCACGGGAGCGGGTGTGGGTGAGCAGGCGAGCAGCACAGTTCTGGATGTACTGGAGTTTATTTAGGATTTTGGATGATGTGCCATGAAGAATGCTGTTGCAGTAGTCAATTCTGGAGGTGATGAAGGCGTGGATCAGAGTTTCAGCAGCAGATGAGGAGAGTGATGGGCGGAGATGGGCTATGTTTTTTTTAAGTGGAAAAAGGCAGTTTTGGTGATTTGTTTGACGTGGTGTTCAAAGGAGAGGTTTCTGTCAAGCATGACTCCAAGGTTGCGGATGTGTGGGGAGGGAGACGGAGTGGAGTTGTCGATGGTGAGGCAGAAGTTGTGACCGGTTTTAGTGAGGGATTTGGGACCGATGATGATCATGTCAGATTTATCACAGTTCAGTTTGAGGAAGTTGGTTTGCATCCATGATTTAATGTCAGTGAGGCAGCTGGTGAGAGTGGAGTGAGTAGCAGTGGTAATGGCCTTTGTGGAGATGTAGAGCTGGACATCATCGGCGTAGCAGTGAAAGTGAAGACCATGTTGACGTATGATGTTACCAAGAGGGAGCAAGTAGAGGATGAACAGAAGAGGACCAAGCACCGAACCCTGGGGGACGCCTTGAGACAGAGGAGCAGTGGAGGAGGTGCAGTTGTTGATGCTGATGAACTGTTGTCTGTTTGTAAGATATGATTTAATCCAGGAGAGAGCAGTTCCGGTGATGTTGAGGGAGAATTCAAGGCGGGAGAGAAGGATGTTGTGGTTGATAGTGTCAAAATCTGCAGTGAGGTCGAGGAGGATGAGAATGTTGAGGTGACCAGCGTCTGAGGAGAGGAGGAGGTTGTTGGTGACTTTGAGGAGGGCTGTTTCAGTGCTGTGCTGTGAGCGGAAACCGGATTGAAATGGCTCGAACAGATCGTTGGAGATGAGGTGGGCTTTGAGTTGTGTGGCGACAATGCGTTCCAGTATTTTTGACAGAAAGGGAAGATTGGAAATGGGACGGAAATTGCTCATGGTGTCAGGGTCAAGTCCAGGTTTTTTGAGGATGGGGTGACAGCAGCCAGTTTAAGTGTGTCGGGGACTGAACCGGAGCTGAGGGAGGAGTTAATGATGACTGTGATGAGAGGTGAGATGGCTGGGAGACAGTCCTTGACCAGATTAGATGGGATAGGATCCAGGATGCAGGTGGAGCTTCTCATTCCAGTTGTGAAGTTAGGCAGCTCCAATGGGGACACAAGGGAGAACTGAGAAAGGGGCTGAGGGGTGGAGGAGGGGGGGCAGGTGGAAAGATAGAAAAGGCGGGGGAGGTGTTCAGATTGCTGTAAATGGTGTCAATTTTTGTTTGGAAAAATGAAAGAAAAGAGTTGCATTTGTTCACTGTGAAGGATGTGGAGGTGTTGTCCTTGGGTTTGAGAAGCTTGTTTATTGTGGAGAACAGAGCCTTTGGGTTAGAGGAGCCAGAGTGTAGGAGGTGTGAGTAGTAGGTGGACCGGGCTGAGGTGAGAGCGTCTTTGTATTGTTGAAGGTAGTCGGAGAGGGCTTGGAGATGGACTGTTAAACCGGTTTTCTTGCAGAGTCTTTCAAGCTGGCGCTTTCGGGATTTCATCTGGTGGAGTTCGGGAGTGTACCAGGGAGCTGAGTGTGTGAATGAGACAGTTTTGGTTTTAATGGGAGCCAGCTGATCAAGACAGGAGGAGAGTGTGTTATTGTAGTAGTTTATAAGATCGGAGGGATTATCAGACAGCGGGGCAGGGGAGGCAGACATGGTACTGGCAAGAGAGGCTGAAAGAGTTGTGGGGGAGATAGATTTGAGATTTCTGAAGGATATGTTGCGCTTAGCTTTTGGGATGGGGATAGGGATGTCAATGTCCATGGTGATAGCCAGGTGGTCAGAGATGTTGAGGTTGAGGCTGGAGAGTTGCGGTATTGTGAGACCAGTGGAGCAGACCAGATCCAGGATGTGACCTTGGCTGTGGGTGGGGAAGTTGATATGTTGTGTGAAGCTGAAGCATTGTAGTAGTTCCAGGAATTCTGTCGTAGATTTACAGTCAGTGTTATCAATGTGGATGTTAAAATCACCTAGGAGGAGAACGGAAGGTGAGATGGCACATAGCCGAGTCAGAAAATCTGAAAAGTCAAAGTTGTTGTTATTGTTATCAGAAGAAAGACAAAGCTTAGTTTGAAAGCTTAGAAATTGATCTAAAATTAATTTTAAAGATGGCAGCAGGTGACACTAACGCATTTGCTATTTCCTAGAGTGCAGCGAGGCAGGGGAACCGACTCCACATGAACGTGTACGAGACTCGGGGCCAGCCGGCGAGGGTCCCCACCACCAAGGCCAGCGGAACAGAGCCCAAGAGGGGTTTCAGACCCCCACAGCACTGCCCCACTCTGGCCCAGGTGGTCAGCCGCAAAGTCCAGGCTGCAGTGCCAGAACAGGGCATGGTAAGACCCCAGCACACATTCGTTCAATATATGGCCCCTGGGAATCTCTTTGTCCATTTATTACTCAGCTGCCACGGATCAGAGTTTTGACAAACATTGAAAAGCATGCATCTCATCACTGTACTTCAGTATTCTTACAATAACAAGGGGTGTGGACTAGTCATCTGTACCCTCAGATTACATAATTACCTTTAATTAATAGTGTTTGATTATGCATTCAGGTGTCAGTTTATTAGGTACACCACCTTAAACTAATGCAGTCTAATACTGCAATAAATCCTCCCTCAATGAAGACTTTAATGTTCAGGTTTGTTAGGACCTCAGGGTGATGTTGATTCAGCTGTATAATCATCTTGGCGGATGTAGTTTGTGCTGCTAGTGAACTGTATTGCATTATATATAGATTAGCTCTGCCTCATTTGCATAAACGCTGTGGACAAAGTATTTCAAACCTGTCAGTAGAACACAATACAATCAGTCGCAGAAATTACACCGTACCATTTTGCCTTTGATTCTAATTTTTTCTAATTTGTATTTGAAAGTGATGAAGCAAGTCTTGACAATGGGCTATATTATCTTGACTTGGGACTTGTTGGTCTTGACTTTGGTCTTGACATGGGTCTAGGCCAGGGGTATTGTCCCAAACTTGACATGCTTGTTGACTGTCATGGCTTTAGGACTTCTGCATGCCAATATTAACTCATAGTCATAGCACCACCTACTGGCAACCACGGATGTAAGCAGGATTCTATAATTAGAGCGGCCCAAACACTGAACTTATTAAAAGGGTTTGTGGGCACACCACCAGAAAAAGACTTCTCTGATCTAAATATGTGCAAACTAAGATGCTTGGAGAGTAAAAGTTAGATAACAGTGGTTCTCAAACCATGTCAGTGGGCATTAGTATAAATCAGGCATGGGCAAACTACGGCCCGCGGGCCATATGCAGCCCGTTGGGCTTTTTAATCCGGCCCGTCAAATATTGGTACAAAATTGTCCAAACTAAAATAAAGACTAGGGCTGGGCGGTATACCTATTTTAAATTTACCATATGATATGACTTCTTCATACACCATCATACCGGTGCATAGCCGAAACAACTGTTGTCTGTCTTCAACAGGCAGCTAAATATATTGTTCGCGCTGAAAGCTGCTGTGGTCGGAGCTAGTTGTCTTAACTGTATTGAGAGAGACCCCTAGTCATGGTCATAACTTTATAACGCAACAATTAACAACCCACAACTAACGCTCTTTAACAGAGAAACACCACGACACAACAGTCTGTGACACATAAACAATTTGTAACAGTAATAATTGTACATTTAGAAAATTTCACTGCCGAACTGCATGCTGGGTACAGCTCACTCGCGAGCCTGCTAGCACAACACTCTGCTAACAGCTTGGAGAGGCTCCGTCACTCCAGTAACGTTACATTAAAGAACAGAACAGAGCGATGCAGGATGAACAAAGACAGACCGGAGATGCACCGATAGAATTTGATACATATGCAACGCTGATTACCGTATAATATGTGTGGTATTTGTTATAAATGTACGTTGGTACATATAAGCTGTACATGGAGGGGCTTAGGACCCAGGGGAATGAAGGTGAAGGAAACTGGAAGAGACGCCACACAAACAGCTGTTCACCGCTCATCACGATCCTGTAGACCAGTGATTCTCAACTGGTGGTTCATCGCGGACCTGTTTTCAGTGGGTCGCGGGCCTTTGCTTTATGCAGCGGAGTTATTCACGCTCCTTTCCAGCGGTGCAGGAAAAACACCGACCAATGCGTTGTAAATCACGTCACGTGATGCAGTTTAGCCAATAAAATAAAGGTATTCTGATACGTTTCCTGACTCCAGTGAGATGTACCCACACCGTGACACAGGGGGGAGAGACAAGGGAAGACTTAACACAGCAGAGCTCTTATAATGTTAGATGTGAAAGTCAAATATCTGTATGATCTCTTCAAAGAAGCAAATTGCTAAAATGACCAGTCTTTCACTGATGAACACCTCAGATCTGTTCTGAGAATTGCCACAACCAAACTGACACCAAACATTGATGCACTGGCAAAAAAGGGTGACCAACAACACTGTACCCACTGAAATTAAATGTATGTTTTCTTTACTTTTCAAGTCATGGCTTTTACTTATAATTTATATTAGTTCACACAAACACTCTCCATTCATCTGCTACTGGCCCGGCCCGTCTGTCAAATTTTAAAAGTCAATGTGGCCCCCGAGCTAAAAAGTTTGCCCACCCCTGCTCTAAATGATCTGTCCAGAGCTTCTTCATGGCAATCAGGTTAAACATTACAATGAATGCTTCACACTACAGTCTAAAGTTACAGAAGAGTAGGGGTATTCAATTCAAATTCCAAAAGGTCCAGATTGAGAAAATCTCCTTGTGCAAAGGTCCGGAACATTACAATAATATCTAACTTGCACCATTTAGTGCCATTATATATGGCACTAAATGACATTCAAGAAGTCTAGTAGTAGTAACAATGTGTTTGTGTAGTCAACAACTGTCAAATCAAATAAGAAACGTACACATCAATTATTATTCTCAGTTTTCAAATTTATTACAAATAATCCATAGAAATACATAAATAAATGTTCTTCTCATTTCAAGTACAATAAGAGCTGCATTAAAGAATAACTGACATAAGAGAAAGCTTTTGAAAAATGTGCATCTCAAGATAAAGTAATTCATTTTAGAAAAATTAATTTCACTAAATTGTCCTGCAGCTTTAAATTCACTTCATTCAGTGTGAAGTGATGTCAATCAAAAAAGCCACAATATTATATTTTACTCATCTTCTAATAAAATACAGTTTTGTGAATGGACTTTCTCTGTGGTTATTAAACCACTTGTTTCAGCTCTATTCCTCTCTGGTAACATCATTGTTGGACAGTGAATTACTGTGTCAGGATTCTGATCATACTGGACTGTTAGGTTGTTTATTATCTGTGGGTTCATTTCAGATGTGAGTGGGTATGTTTGCTCAAAAGACGTACAGGTTTTAAACTGAACACATGAGACGTACTGGTTTTAAACTGTCCGTGGGAAGAATTAACATTTAACAGTCCATTCTTGGTTAGAGACTCTGGTCTCTCTGGTCTCTCTGAACACTTTTCTCTCTTTGGAGAACGTCATGTGAAATAACTTCTGACTCACTTAATTATTCTGCTGCTCTTCGTTCTCTTTCCTCGTCTCAGCCCTGTGTGTGTAAATCACTCACTCGAGTCAGGAAACTTGTCAGAATACATATTTGATTGGCTGAATAGCATCACATGATGTGATTTACAACGCATGTAATTGGTCGGCCCTGAACAAGTGCTGTAAAGGCTGCGCTGTTTAAAATGGAAGCGCTCCGTCAAAATAAGTTAAGTTTATTGTCACATACATTTACACATACTATATACGAAATTTGTCCTCTGCATTTAACCCATCCCTAGCTTATTGGGAGCAGTGGGCTGCTGAGAAGCGCATGGGGAGCAGTTAGGGGTTCAGTGTCTTGCTCAGGGACACTTCGGCATAGGACACGTAGCAGCCAAGGATCGAACCGCCGACCTTGCGGTTGCCGGACGACCCTCTCTATCTCGTGAGCCACAGCCGCCCACAAAATGTAATAATTCTCAATTATCTTTTGGTTTTAGGTCCGGATACAACGGCGTCTGGGTCCGGAACCGGACCGCGGCCCGCCTATTAGTGACCCCTGGTCTAGGCTATGGACTTGTTGGTCTTGACAGGGTCTTGTTGACTTGAGACTCGTTGACTTGGGACTCGTTGACTTGGGACTCATTGGTTTTGACTTTGAACCTGACATGGGTCTAGAGCAGGGGTGCCCACACTTTTTCGGCTTGCGAGCTACTTTTAAAATGACTAAGTCAAAATGATCTACCTACATTAAAAATGCTAAATATCTATTTATTTATATATATATACTGAGTATACTTTATATTTACAATATATGTTGTTGTAAATACCTTATGGCACAATACAATTCTGTACATTTTTGGTCATTACCTTACTCTGATGACTTGCACTGAATGGAATCAGCCAGGGTTGCATAGTAGCTGCTGGTAGCCCGCCTCAAGCAGACTTCAAATGATCATCAGTCATGGTGGAACGGTGTTTGGACTTAATATTCATTATGTGGGAAAAGGCTGACTCACATAAATAAGTAGAGCCGAATAATGCAGTCAAGAAGGTATCACATTTCCTCATGTTTGGGTACTTTTCCTCTGTGAGTAAGTTCCCAAACTGTCCACGAGCCCTGGACTTCAGCTGAATGTCAGTTTGCAGTGTAAAAATCTCATCCTCTACTCCAGACGAGTTCAGGTGAAACAGCGTTGCAATTTTTGATGCGAGTGAATCAACCTCAAAATCTTCCTGAAATGTGCAGCACATAAATGTAGCGACTGGCTCGAGTAAAGCAAAGTCTTGAAAGCGTTTGTCAAACTCTGACAGACACTTGTCAATCTGCTCTGTGTACTGTGCGCGCCTTCCGTTGTGTCTCCAGCTCTGACGCGAGGATTTGGAAGTTCCCCAAATCATGGTGCTGCAGCTTTAGCTTCTTTAGTAGAAATGAATTGGAAGATTATCTAATTAGCTCGCCTGCGTTTTGCAGTAGCTCGCGCGGTTGACCGCGCATAAGTGGTGACCCGTGTGTTAGAAAAGAGGTGATCTCAGACTGGCTGCCCTGTACGTCAATCAAGTGGCAAATGCCATAGGGAGGATGAAAATTATTTTTGATTGGCATGCGATCTACCCGCACTGCCTTTGCGATCGACGTATTGGGCACCCCTGGTCGAGAGAGAGAGAGAGAGGTGTAGAGAGAGAGAGAGAGAGAGGTGTAGAGAGAGAGAGAGAGGTGTAGAGAGAGAGAGAGAGAGAGAGAGAGAGAGAGAGAGAGAG